AAAAAAGTGATTTTTTCTTTTTCTTTAAAAAAAATAGTTCTACAGAATTTGACTAAGCGGGCAAAACTTCTTAATGAATGTATAAATGTGCTTTACACAATTGATGTAGGTATGGATTGTGATAAGAGTTGTATGAGCCCCTAATAAAACAATTAAAAAAAAGAAACCTCCTAAGGGGACATTAGTGTCAAGCAATGTCCGGTTCCCACAATTTCAGATCCTGGGTACTAAGGTTCCAAGAATTCCCCAAGGACTCTGCCTAGCAGTACATATGTATTCAGTTATAAATCCGTAAGAGCTTCCAATAAAATGATTTTTTTAAATAAATAAATAATGTATATATATACACGAGTGTAACAGGGCTCTTGGTATAATATACAAAACTTAGGCAAAAGTCCTGCAGTCCTAAACTGAACAGGAAATACTAGTATAAACTCAAAGTTCCCCACCACTTTTCTCTCCCTCCCATCCTACTCTGTCTGCTGAAAACAGCAAGACAAAATGGTTCATCCAGCACAATGGCCACCCGTGTACCCAATGTCACTATCAGGGCCTCTTTCACAAACACTAGGTGTTAACAATGCATATTATTTAGCAACACACACCCCCCCCCTGCAACACCCCCTCACATAGCCTTTCTTTTTCAGTTGTGTCTTAGTGGTTTCATTATTTCCTGGATTATAAATTCATAGGAGCCCTATAATTTCAGAGGCGCACAACAGTTAAGTGCTCGGCTGCTTACAGACGGGCCGACAGTGACTGTGTGTGGGGAAAGCCAGGGTGCTCTGCCCACTAAGATTACAGCTGACAAAACCCTGTGGGGCCCTATAACCTTGTCCCACGAGATCTCTGAGTCAGAATCCACGCAACAGCACTTAATAATAAAATGACACAAACGGGTTTTATTTTTACCATTTTCCCGCATATTTAAAATGGTACTTTGTCTCTGAGAATCTGGTTTATAGAAGGTTATAGAAGACAGTGGAAATCCAAGATTCCCATTGGTGGAACTATACAGGAAATAAAGCTTGGGTGAACTCCCTCGGCCCACAGTGGAGGGACGAGAGGGGAAGAGTGGTCACGAAAGGGCATGCACTGCTGAGTTGAGTACAGAAGGCCAAGGGCAGACGCCTGACTTGAACAGTTAGCCCATGTCAGCAGATTGCCCCCAGGATGCATGCTGGACCTGCTCTGGTTTCCAAAATCTGATCTATTTGGAGGTTGTATTGTTGTTTGGTTTTTGATTGGACATATTACGGGGTGTCTCAGGAGTGGTATATCATTGAAGAGGTGATGACATCAAGGGGTCCATATAGAAGAAGAATGTTTGGAAACTGATCCCAATTAATTAAAAAATATTTTTAAGAGTTTAACAAAGAAAACAAACAGTGTCCCTCAAAACAAAAATCCAGAGAAGACTTGCTCCATGCAGGACATATAATCCATAAAATGGATTATAAAACATTTTGATGTAGGTATAACCTACTTAGCAAAAAGCCAAGTTTCCTCTGAAGTCAAAAAATTATGATTTACCTATTGACGTTCTTTTAAGAGTAAAACTAAGTTTGAATTAATTCAGCTTTCACAACTTTTTTGACAAGGGAAGGTGGCAGGCCTAGGTTTATTAAAATAAGATGGTTAAAATAAGTTTCTCTAATAGTTATACTTTCCATCTGGTGGTCAACTACAATTGGTCAGTATATTTATAGCTACAAATCATTTCAAACTTATAGCTTACGAGTCAGAACTGACTCAATGGCAGTAAGTTTTTCTTTGTTGTTGTTGTTTTGAGATGGAGATGAAATAGCCTCTTAATAGCTGTCACTTGTTAAACATGAAATGCTCCTCGAGTTGAGTGTTGACCAAAGCCCGAGGCTAAGAACTAGAGAGCTAATGTTTTCTGCCATTTCTCTTTGATTCTATGAGTTCCAGCGATTTTTCCCCCATTCTTTGGAGCCTGAACATTATATTTATTTCCAGGTGCTCTGAGATTTTATTTGAAAGCATTCATCCATATATCAAATATAATCAAACAACACATTTTAAGGGGTCTGTAAGAAAATATAAAAGAGAAAGAATCACGGAAATACAGTTATTTCATTATGAAGTTGCACAAAATCAGCAGTTCTATTCAAGTTCATGAAAAAAAGATTCTTATCTGTTTTCTGCACCCCTCTTCTCTTTGCTTTTGGGGACAGAGGCAGGGAACAAGGAGAGAGAGAGAAAGAGAGAGAGAGACCTTTTAACTAGTTTTTGTCTTTTGCAAGGTTCAAACTCTATGTAGTGATTTTTCTCCTCCTTGACTCCTCTAAAAG